TGTAGAAATAAAAAAATATCTAGTACCCAGAAAGATAAAATTCCTAATGTTTAGCATCCAGTCAAAAACTACCAAAGATGTAAATAAGTAGGAAAATAGGACCCATGATGAGTCAAATCAATTGAAACTGACAAGTATGTTAGAATTTGCAGACATTATATTGTAACTATTCCATTTGTTCAAAAATCAAGTAGAGAGATGGAAGATGGAAAGACACCAACCAAACTTCTAGAAAGAAAGTATAATATGTGAAATATAAAACACCGGTTGGAATAAATGGCAGATTTGATATTGCAGCAGAAAAAAATTAATGAGTTTGAAGACCTGTCAATGGAAACAATGCAAGATAACAGAAATTTTTAAAAGCATCCAATATGTTGAATAGACTAAGGTGTGGGGAAGGAATTTGAAGAACCTATTTGAAGAAATGATAGCTAAAAAGTATTTAAATTTTGATGAAAACTATAAACCCACAGATTCAAGAACAATGAATCCCAAGGACAAGAAGTATGCAAAAATGTTCACCAAGGCACATCATAATTGTTTAATACCAATGAGAGATTAAAAAAAAAAAAAAGTGAGAGAGACAAGAGGATAAAGGCACTATTTGCAAGTAACTTGGAAACAGTTAAAAGACGAGGATGAAATCAGATTTCTTTCAGGAAACAAATTGTAAAAGTCAGTATACATGATGTATTAGAAAAAGCCCTGTCAACCTACAATTCTATGCCCAGAGAAAGAATATTTAAAGATAAGTATTTATATAAGTGTTTAGGTAAAACATAAGATTTATTTAAAATATCTTTAAAACAGGGGCGCCTGGGTGGCTGAGTCGGTTAAGCGTCTGACTGGCTCAGGTCATGATCTCATGGTCCATGAGTTCAAGCCCCGCGTTGGGCCCTGTGCTGACAACTCAGAGCCTGGAGCCTGCTTTGGATTCTGTGTCTCCCTCTCTCTCTGTCCCTACCCTGCTCGTGCTCTGTCTCTCTCTGTCTCAAAGATAAATAAACATTTAAAAATAAATAAATAAATAAAAATAAAAATAAAATATCTTTAAAACAAAGGCAAAATACTTTTCCAGACTAAAGCTGAAAGAATTCATCACTAGCAGATCTATTAGACAAGAAATGTTAAAGGAAGTCAAGTCTTTCAGGCAGATGTATATACACTGGAGACCAAAAAACTGATCTGTGGCTTGTTATTTAAGCTTTAAGCTTAGAATGGATTGCACATTTTTTAAGCGCCCCAGTATGGTGACAATTATTGGAGCCTGGTATTAAGTACATGAGGGTGTTCATTATACTATTGTCTATTCTTATGTTGGATTTTCCACAAGTTTTTTTTTTTGATTTACATTACCCAACAATATATTATCTCCTGTAAATAAATCCAATTCAGTTTTGTACAGTGTTTTATTTATTTATGTATTTAGTGCCTTTGTTCCTCATTTTATTTTACTTTATTTGGCATTTTTAAAATTTATTTTTTTAATTTGCATCCAAGTTAGCATATAGTACAACAATGTTTTCAAGAGTAGATTCCTTAATGGCCCTTACCCATTTAGCCCCTCCCTCTCCCACAACCCTTCCAGTAACCCTCTGTTCTCCTTCTTTAAGAGTCTCTTATGTTTTGTCCCCCTCCCTGTTTTTATGTTCTTTTTGCTTCCCTTCCCTTATGTTCATCTGTTTTGTATCTTAAAGTCTTCATATGAGTGAAGTCATATGATATTTTTCTCTGACTAATTTCACTTAGCATAATACCCTTTAGTTCCATCCACGTAGTTGCAAACGGCGAGATTTCACCCTTTTTGATTGCTGAGTTATACTCCATTGTACATATATACCACATCTTTATCCATTCATTCATCTATGGACATTTGGGCTCCTTCCAACTTTGGCTATTGTTGATAGTGCTGCTATAAACATGGGGGTGCATGTGTCCCTTCGAAACGGCACACCTGTATCCCTTGGATAAATGCCTAGTAGTGCATTTGGGTGGTAGGGTAGTTCTATTTTTAGTTTTTTGAGGAACCACCATACTGTTTTCCAGAGTGGCTGCACCAGTTTGCATTCCCACCAGCAATGCAAGAGAGATCCTCTTTCTCCGCATCCTCGCCAACATCTGTTGTTGCCTGAGTTTTTAATGTTAGCCATTCTGACAAGTGTGAGGTGGTATTGTGCAATGTAATATTTAAACGACATAGATCTGTACTAACTGATCTTGCTACATATATCAAAGTGTTATGCAATTTGTTCTCATCAAATTGGATTTTGAAATCTACAGACTACAGTAAGAACTATTGCTTCTAATTGTTATAAGATAGTAAATAAATAAACTGTGCTGTCTGCAGAGATTTTAATTAATTAGCTGAGACTTAAAGGTGTACATACTGTATCCAAACATGATCAAAGAAAGCATGTGAGTCTCTTTCTTTTGTCTCACAATGTGCTTTCATGATGATAGTAAAGTTTCATCAGTAACAATGGTGGACTAAGAAATTAGACCGGGGACTTGAATGTATTTTTCTCCTTTTCTTCATCAATAATTTTAGCTTGTTTCCAAGTAGCTTTTTGATTGTAAAGATCTTATGCTTTCATTTTTAAGGTAGCAATTATTTGATAAGCCCACAAATTAAATTATCTTTATTATAATCTTCTGTACTTTTTTTTCTTTTTAGAATGCAGCTTGAATGACGGCACCTGGCTGGCTCAGTTGGTGGGGCATGTTACTCTTCACGCCAGGGTTATGAGTTTGAGCCCCACACTGGGTATAAACACTGCTTAAAAATAAAAAAATTTAAAAAAGGAAGAAGAAGAATGTAACTTCGATGAAGTAAAGCTTTGCTGTTTAAACATTTTTGGTGGTGTCTGAGTGGCTCAGTCGGTTGAACATCCAACTCTTGGTTTCAGCTCAGGTTATGATCTCACAGTTCGTAGGTTTGAGTCTTGTGTATCAGTGCAGAGCCTGCTCGAAATTCTCTCTCTGTCGCTCTCTCTCTCTCTCTCAGTGCCCTTCCCTGCTTGCACTCGCACACACACCCTCTCTCAAAAACAAATAAGCTCTGTTAAAAAATTTAAAAAATAAACACTTTTCTCCATATAGTCATTACCTTACATTCCAGGTTCAGCCAATGTTCAGTTGAATGTTCAACTCAGCGTTCAAGTTGAGTTCGAATACTGTTTTCACTTCACACTTAAAAAAAAATTATGAACTTTTTAAAAAGTAATCTCAAAAAACAAAAAATAATCTCTACATCCAACATGGGGCTCAAATTCATGACCCCAAGATCAAGAGTCACACACTCTACCAACTGAGCCAGTCAGACATTCCTTCACTTCATACTTTTTTATTATTTTTTAAATATAGTTTATATGCAGTTTGTATTTATGTGCAATTTGTATTAGTTTGATTAAAATGTTACAATTTACAAAGTTGAAAATGTCCTACTACATAGTTTCTGACAAATGGACTGAACATCTGTAGCTGAAAATCTTGATACTTCCTGTCTGTAGCAGATGAAATTCCTTCACACATTAAGCCACAAATAATTGGATTATATTAGCCAAACATTTTGTACAATTATGAGCTTTCCCAGTAAAGCAATAGTTAAGGTGACCATCTTCTACCAGGAAAGCAAATGAGAAGTCAGCAATCAAACCATCCTAGTGATTCATGTTTTATTACATCCTTTCCATTGGTTGTTTCTTATTTTTTTTTTTTTGTTTATTTATTTTTGACAGAAAGAGAGACAGAGCATGAGTGGGGGAGGGACGGAGAGAGAGAGAGAGAGACAGAATCCGAAGCAGACTCCAGGCTCTGAGCTGTCAGCACAGAGCCCGACGCGGGGCTGGAACTCACAGACCATGAGATCATGACCCGAGCCGAAGTCGGACGCTCAACCGACTGAGCCACCCAGGCGCCCCTACCTGATTGTTTCTTATGACAGTTGCTACGACTGATGATGGTATTTGTGGCAACAGGCAATAGTCCTTGCTCAGACTTTAAGCAGGTTGCTCTGGCATTTTCTGTTAAAAAGGTTTGCTGGTTTCAATTCACAATTAGCTTGTGACCTGTTGTTTAAGAAAGCACTATACTATGCCATTTAATTTGCATTTAGAGGCAATATGAAACATTGCTTAGTCTCATTTGAATGCAATCATGAGTCTTTCCAGATTTATGTGTCAGGAGAATATTCCTACTTAGTATGTAAACTCATAAAGAACACAAGTTGTTTAATATGTGATACAACTTCCATCTTTACAAATATTGAATTCCTGGGCACCTGGGTAGCTCTGTTGGTTAAGCGTCCGACTTCAGCTCAGGTCATGATATCACGGTTCATAAGTTCAAGGCCCACATCGGGCTCTGTGCTGACAGCTGGGAGCCTGCTTCAGATTCTGTGTCACCCTCTCTCTCTGCCCCTCCCCCTCCCGCTCACACTTTCTCTCTCTCTCTCTAAAAAATAATAAAAATTAAAAAAAAAAAAACCAAATGTCGAATTTCTGTAGAATATGTCGTGTTATGCTAGGCACTTTTACTGTGTTTTCTCAGGGATTGCTATAAAGGTTAAAGATCTTGCCCATTAGCATATGGTTATTTAGTGCAAGAACCAAAGAATAGAACCTAAGTACTGTGACATGTATTCAAGTGTCCTTTACACCTACCATGATTCAAATCATTAAGCATGGGATAAAATTTCATGACTTTTTTTCAAATTTCATGATTAATAGTTGCAATTTGTAATAGTACTATAATACAGTTTATAATTTTTCACATTAAACTGGAACGTATTCAACAACTGGTAATTTCTTTTTTTTTTTTTTCAACGTTTTTTTTATTTATTTTTGGGACAGAGAGAGACATAGCATGAACGGAGGAGGGGCAGAGAGAGAGGGAGACACAGAATCGGAAACAGGCTCCAGGCTCTGAGCCATCAGCCCAGAGCCTGACGCGGGGCTCGAACTCACGGACCGCGAGATCGTGACCTGGCTGAAGTCGGACGCTTAACCGACTGCGCCACCCAGGCGCCCCGGTAATTTCTTTTTAAATGAATCTTAATTAATACCAGTGAACTGAAAACACAACCAATGTTTGAAAACTCTGATCCAGTTAGCAGTTTGGGTGAGTTTTCTCCATTGATACCTAATGTTTAATAGGCTCCAGTTTCATAAAAATAAAACCAACAACAAATACCTCATATATTTAGAATCTGAAAAGTCAAGTCAATCTACAAGATTTGCATTACATGAACGAGATAACTAAATGGTCTCTTTTTTTTTTTTTTCTTTTTTTCAATCCAAAGTGTGCTTATTGGGATATTTTCCCACTCATCTTGATTCGGGATGCTTTTAGTGCTGCTTCCGTCTGAAGGAGCATCCTTCTGTAAGCCTTGTTTTTCCTTCTGCAGGCTGGCAGAGGACAGTGGAGTGGCCAACACACAAAACTACCGTTTGTGCATGGCTACAGATGATGGTCATTTTGGCATTTCACGCCCATGAAGTAGGAGGTGGGGCTCTGCCCCAGGCGCTTCTTCTGTGCTTCCTCTTCCCTTCCAGGGAGGAGTGGAGGACCCTTTGCAAGGGTCATGTTCTCGTGGGGAGGTCATCACTGCCGGATAAATGGTCTTTCTAGAAAGAGTGTGTCAATAGGCGCTTGCAATCCGGTCTCCAGTAGGTCACAAGAAAACTGAATCAGCTTCCCCTTGCTTCAGCCGAGGGGTTTGGCATGTGGTCTTGCGCACTTCACTTGTGACCCAGATTCCTTTGGAGGGGTGCTTTGGAGAACATCCCTGCATCTTATCCTGTAGTCCCCAGAGTCCGGGCAACAGTCAAATGCATCTCAGCTGAGAGCCCACGATCTTTGTTTTTGTTTTTTCCTGAAATGCCAGAATTTCTGTGTAGTTGTGGATTTAGGGCCAGTGAGTCTCATCTCATCCAAATTTGTGCTGCTTTCCTCAGATAAACTCTGGCTCTTCTCAAGTGGCATATAAATTATTTTTACTACATTTAAAAACATTGATTGAGATTTTCATATGCACAGAGCTCCGTGCTAACCAGTGGGGTTGCTGAGGGTTGTGGGGAGGGAGAGACAGATGTAGCTTGGTGTGTATGTTCCCTGTGAGCACTCTGTGACTCAGATATCATATACATCTAGCATACTGCCATGGTGGTCCCACAGAAGTTTGACCAGATTTGCCGAGGTCACTTAAATAAGGCAGACCATCCGAAGGGAAAAAGAAATGAGTTGGACCAATACGAAACCATGGTTGCAGGGAAGGAGGGATTTGAACATGATGGTATGGCTGTACCTCAAATTTGTCCTGGCTCAGACCCCTGACAGATCTCATGCCCAGGGAGCTAGAGGGCTCTACATGAGAGCTCTTGCACGAAACTCACGAGGCTGAAGCCAACCCTCCCTTAACATTATTTCACAGGGAAGAAAGCCATTCTGTACCACTGTGGCACCTAAGCTCATGATGAGGATCAGCACACGGGACCCCGAGGATGAACGGGAGAACCACAGTGGCTCGTTTGTCATGGGAGGCAGCAGCCTAGCTACAGTGGGAGAGAATCTGCTCCTGAGCATGTCAGAAACATCCCTCAGGAGTCCAAAGTTCTTGGTAGTAATGGTGGATTTTGCTAAAGCTGCAGTTCCTGCACCTGCTAGAGGAGCCATGAGTCGTTAAGGTTCTTATGTTAACGATATTGTGACCTCCTTTGTACCTGTGGGCTCTTGGGGAGACATGGTCATATAAAGATGAACAAAAGTGTCCCTACTTTCTATCTTTTTTAATTTATTTTTTAAAATTTATTTTGAGATAGAGATAGATTGAGAGCAGGGGAGGAGCAGAGAAAGAGAGAGAGAGAGAGAGAGAATGAGAACCCCAAGCAGGCTCTTCACTGTCAGTGCAGAGCCTGATGCAGGGCTTGAACTCACGAACTGGGAGATCATGACCTGAGCTGGAGTTGGACACTTAACTGACTGAACCATCCAGGCATCCCAAATGTCCCTACTTTCAAAGAGGGCTCACTTTAGTGGGGAAACAAGAGATGCTCATATCAACAGGAATGCGCTGGGTTCCTCGCCAAACAACACATTCTGTAGAAACTGCCGTTAAATGTTTTGAACTAATGGAGAGTCATTTATCCGATCTATGTTTTAGAAAAACTTCTGACTAGCTGGTTTGGAGGAAGGATTGAATGAGAAGAAGCTAAAATCAAGGAAACCAGTCATTTGATCAGAAGGTCAGTGGGACCCAAACTAGTCTGTATCAGTGTGAACAGAGCAGAGGGGATGAGAGATGTTTAAGAGGACTATGTGGGAGCACCTGGCTGACCCAGTAGGTGAAAAGCATGCACTCTTGATCTTGGGGTCATGGTTCAAGTCCCATGTTGGGCATAGATACTACTTTTAAAAATAAAATTAAAGGGCTCTGAACTGTCAGCATGGAGTCTGACACTGGGCTCGAACTCACAAACCATGAGATCATGGCCTGAGTCAAAGACACTTAACTGACAGAGCCACCCAGGCGCCCCAGCATCCAGCTTTTCATTTCGGCTCAGGTTGTGATCGCGTGGTTTGTGGGATGGAACCCCCATATCAGCCTCTGCACTGACAGTAAGGAGCCTGCTTGGGATTCTCTCTCTCCCTCTCTCTGTCTCTGCCCCTCCTCTGCTCACAAGCATGTGCCCACGTGCTCTCCCTCTCTCAAAATAAACAAAGTTAAAAAAAAGATTCATACATCTTTAAAAAAAATAAAAGTAATCTCTGCACCCAACATGGGGCTCAAACTCATGACCCCAAAATCAAGAGTCGCAGGCCCCACAACCTGAAACAGCCAGGTGCTCCTAGAGGCAGTATTTTGCACACTAAAAGATACGAGTTCTGGGATTAGACTGCCTCGATTTGAATCTTGGCGCCACGGATGGGAATGCCTTGGGCAAATCATGTATCCTGTCCATCCCAGTTCTTTCATCTGTGAAATGGGGATGGTAATAGTGCCTACACTCATACAGTCATTCTGTGTGAATAGATCTAACTGAATACCAAAAAAGTCCTTAGAAGAGTGCCTTGTGCTGAGGTTTGTTTGCTATCGTTATTCTAGGTAGGGTAACTAGGTGAACAGCAATAAAAGTCACTGAAATGAAAATACAGAGGATTGGCAAACTCAGAGGACAGAGAAAATGGTGAGTTCACTCTTGGGACATACTGAATCTGGTGTTCCTGACCCAGATAGTCACATAGTGTTAGAAATGAGCAGGTTTTTCCTTTAGGGCTGATTTACTGTGTTGGTGGTAAGTGAGAAAGTAGACCAGCTGGGATTTGAACCAAAGCTGGTGTGCTGAACCACTACAATGATTTGAACCATTTTGAAACCTCTGGCCCCTGAGTAGCTAAAATGAACAACTCAGGAAACTACAGACACTGGCAAAGATGTGGAGAAACGGGAACCCTCTTGCACTGTTGGTGGGAATGCAAACTGGTGCAGCCACTCTGGAAAACAGTGTGGAGTTTCCTCAAAAAATTAAAAGTAGATCTACCCTATGACCCAGCAATAGCACTGCTAGGAATTCACCCAAGGGATACAGGAGTGCTGATGCATAGGGGCACTTGTACCCCAATGTTTACAGCGGCACTTTCAACAATAGCCAAATTATGGAAAGAGCCTAAATGTCCATCAACTGATGAATGGATAAAGAAATTGGGTTTATGTATACAATGGAATACTACTTGGCAATGAGAAAGAATGAAATATGGCCTTTTGTAGCAACGTGGATGGAACTAAAGAGTGTTATGCTAAGTGAAATAAGTCAGGCAGAGAAAGATACAATATGTTTTCACTCTTATGTGGATCCTGAGAAACTTAACTGAAGACCATGGGGGAGGGGAAGGGGGAAGGGAGGCAAACCATAAGAGACTCTTAAATACTAAGAACAAACTGAGGGTTGATGGGGGGTGGGGGAGAGGGGAAAATGGGTGATGGGCATTGAGGAGGGCACCTGTTGGGATGAGCACTGGGTGTTGTATGGAAACCAAGTTGACACTGAATTATATTTAATAATAATGATAAAAACCTCTGGCCCCTGACATCTCTTAATACTAGAGTGTATTAAGATATGGCATCCTATTTTATACACTGTTCGATGTTTAATAATAATAATACCTATCAGGGCACCTAGATGGCTCAGTCGGTTGAGCATTTGACTTGATTTGGGCCCAGGTCATGATCCTAGGTTGTGGGATTGAGCCCTGAGTTGGGCTCTGCGCTGAGCATGGGGCTTACTTAAGATTCATTCTCTCTCTCTCTCTCTCTCTCTTTCTCCCTCTCCCTCCCTCTGCCCCTGTACCTCTCTCTCTCAAATAAAAATTAAAATAAGAATACCTATCATTTACTGGATGGCTATTATGTATCAGGCATTACACATATATTGTCTTCAGTCTTCACAATACCCCATCAACGTGTCATAAGCAATATTTTAAAGCAGTGGAAACTAGGGCTCAGAGATGTTCAGAAACTTGCCTATAGTTGTACAACTTCTAAGCAGCAGAGGAAAGATTTGAGCTCAGTTCTGTTTATTCCCAAAGTTTGTACTATTTCTATAGTAATCTATCTTCCAAATTTGGCTCTATTACATTTAATGTATCATGTCATGTTTTGCAAATGATACTATGAGTTCCATGAATTCTATAACCACCTTATCAGGGTTGAAAAAAAGTTTTAGTTATAGAAGCATAGTAACTGGAATAGCATTTCTCAAACTTTAGTTACATAAGAATCCTATACAGAGCCTGAGTCCTTGCCCCAAATGTACTGAATCAAATGTCCAAGGGTGACTCTTAGAAATCAGGTCTTTTTTTTTTTTTTTT